CACCGGACCGGGACCGGCAACAGGATCGCAACCCCCAGTGTTGCGCCCGCATCTCGCTCAGCCAGTGAGCGGGAACCGGTCTGTATGTGGGATCCAAACCCTCGGCGGGAGCACCGCCGCGCTCCCAAGCGACGCACTGTAGCAGTGTGCCACCGGGCCGGCCCCCCAGGCTTTCTTAATGCGGTCAAATTCTCCTGTTACACATTCTTACCCCTTTATAATATAGAATCTACCACAGTTGCCATTTTATGTTTATTTGTGTGACTGCTTGACCACTGCCTGGCTCCCCATGAACTGTGAGCCCCATGAGGGCAGGATTTTGTTCATCATTATATCCAGGCTACCACAGTGCCCAATGGTTTTGATACATGTTAATGAGCTATGCTTGCAACTTCTGCAGAGGTTCTCTGTCCTTGTTTCATGATGAGCCCACATACCACACTGAGACCACCCTGGGATGTATTTTAGTCAACTATATGTTCAAGATATAGATCAGATTTTGTGCACTTCTTTAAAATAATCATTCTTAGAATTCACATACTAAGACTGAAGGTAACTGATTCCTAAGACTAGGATGAACACATATATGTCCTGGGGTCAGGTGGCTTCCTCACTTAGGCTAGTGCCTCCAAAGGCAGCCAGCAGCAAAAGCCAGACCTGAAAAGGGCTCCCCATATTTTTATCTGTATATATTTAAGAAGAATAATTAGGGGCCGAGCCCATGGCACACTCGGGAGAGTGCGGCGCTGGGAGCACAGCAGCGCTCCTGCCGTGGGTTCAGATCCTATATAGGGATGGCCGGTGCGCTCACTGGCTGAGCGCCATGCGGCCGATCTCAAAAAAAAAAAAAGAAGAAGAATTAGAGTCACTTTTAAGGTGTCTAATAAAAGTCCTCATTGAACAGCAACCCAGTTTGAGTAGTGAAGCCCTACTGATGCTCTTCGCTGTAAATGAGCCCCTTTGGGGGCTGGCATTTGCTGCTGGCTGCCTTTGGAGGCACTGGCCTAAGTAAGGAAGCCACCTGACTCCAGGGCATGCACTGGGCAGGGCTCCCACCCGGGTGCAATGTGAGGAGCAGGGCTGACAGGAAAGGCATCATCACTTGGCATAACAACCTCATCCAAACCACTGAGCAAAACATTTTTAACTGGGAAACTTACCCAAACTTTGTCTCCTGGATTCTTTTTCTGATGGTCAGAGAGATATATGAAACCAACCCAATCAAAATGAATCCACAGAAGCAGCCAAGAATAATAAGCACAGGCTCCGTGTTGCCAGGTGCCGGAGTGGACGAGGGGGCATAATCTATCCCACCTGGAAAATACCAGAAGACTACACTCAAAACAGCTCTTTGGGATTCGAAATGCGTAAGAAACATTGGCTTACAATAAGGAAGAACAAATAGTCAAAAGCTTTCAGAACTTAGTTAAATCTTTTCTCTTTCGTGATCTACAAATGCAGGCAGTCCTCATTTTTTGCAAGCTGAGATCATGTGGAGCGATCTTAACAATCAATGAGAAACTACCTTCATTTAATCATTCCACAATGAATGCACACAAAATATTGAAACATCATGTTGTACTCCATAAATATACAGTGGTTCGCCTGTCAATTAAAAAAATAGGAATTTAAAAAATAATCAATGGGAAAAATCTCTTTATGTTGGTATAACTGTACAAAATAAAGGAAGAAATAGTAAAACTAATATTCACTTGGTACAATGCAATTTAAAATATTAGAGACATTAAGAATTAAAGTGTTATTTCATTTTAAAAAACCTATCCAGAGTAGTTTGAACAGTGTTTGCCTTCCAGTCATATAACTTATATAGAGAAAAGATATCTTCTATGTTTTGGAGAAATACCACTCCTTTCTAAGTTTGGATTAACTCACAACATTTTCTCTTTTGAGCTTTTGATGTTGTAAAATGTCTCTGAGAACTCCTTCAATCTGAAGCTTTTGCTGGTGTCACCTTCTCTGGGACATTTGCATCCTTTATATCACAACCACTTCATTTATGCCACTAAGTTCTTCAGGCTGCATATCTAGAGTCTATCCCATGGCATGGCATCAATGTCCCATGGTCTGCATACAATCAGTTCAAATTCCACTTCCAGCACCATTGCTTTTTGTTTCTTTGCTGCACTTTCTTCTTTGTTCACTAATTCCCTCTTTCAATTCTCCATTTTTGTAAAATGTCACGTGGGTTTGTTGCTGACGGACAGGGAGGCAACATAGTCACATGCCCCTGCTAGACGTGCATGAACTGAATGTGAACTAAATGAGGAACGTGCAGTGGCCAACCACGAACAGACTCTGAGAAGTGGCGTCATCGGTTACCATCATAACGCGCAATTGTTATTTATGTGGTGATTCCTGGACTGAGGAGCTAGTGGCGAAGTTTATGCTTTATGCAATTACAGTTAATATATGATAGTAATTAAAATTTGAAATATACTGTTAGGAAACTGGTGTTATTTAAACTGTGGTGAATGAAATTTACACATACTGGGGCTGTGCAAAGCAAGGACTGCCTATATAGCAAAGCTTTAAAAAAGTTTAGAGAGTTTATTATGCATGAGGATGAAAGCTCTGTAGTCTTAAACTCTGATTTTCTAAGCTGTGCCTTTAGAATTAGAATCTCATTGTCTTTGAGTCTCTACCAGGCAGACACACCTTGTGTCCCCATCACGAGTTACTAACGTTCTCTGGGTACTGAGCCCACAGGCTGCAGGAATGTAATATTGCTCCACTTCAGCACTGAAAGGGAGAGCACGTTTAAGGGTCACGGGGAACAGACAAACAAGAACTCATCCATATACTCACAAGTCCTTTCTGCTATTGGGTACAAAGGCCATGTTTGGCAAGAACTTGTAAATGTACAAGTCACACTGATATAGATGACTGTGCATGAATTTTACGACAGCAGTTTAACATCAAACAACCTAAGGCAGGTCAGAGTCGAATGAATGTGGCTCCACTGCTCTATGGAAGCGAGCACAGCATTTGGGCCACTTGTGGCACCTTGCCCGACATTCCAGCAACATGCAAAGCCAGCACGCATGGCTGGGCAATTAGCTCAGTCAGCCCAGGGCAGTCTGAGGATGGTTTCCACAGGAAACACCTCATGTTTGGTGCAGACCAAATCAGCAAGCACATTACCCAAGGCTTGAACTGGTAAAAACATGGCAAGCAGCCCTGCTGAAAACATAGCAAAAAAAACACTAGCAAATAAACAGACAGTGCCAATTATAGAGAATGAAGGATTAGCCATACTGCCTGTCCAAATGCAGTCATGTATACATCATTTACACTAAATTCAGGGCTGGCCAGTGGTCCATTTGGGAGAGTGTGGTGCTACCACCAAGGTCAAGGGTTCGGATCCCCATACGAGTCAGCCACCAAAAAATAAAATAAAATGAAATAAATTCAGTAAGTAAAGTTGAATTTGGTATTCTGAAAGAACTAATCTTCCTAGTATGTTATTACTATTAATAGTAATGATAGCAGGAGGACCATGGGTATCGGTAGTTCTGTGAAGCGTGTTATCATATCGACTATCTTTATCACTGCAGGAATTCTTTCTGGTCCTTATTTTTCATTCATCAGCTGTCCACCCACAGGTTATGCTTTGGCAATCTGTGCACTGCCTGGACTGCCACATTTAATCAGCTGCCAAGGGCCCCAGATCTCACCGTGTGCGGGGATAAATATTTGCACTGGGTCACTGAAAGGCCCGACTCCCCCTTTTGTGATAGCTGCAATCCTCACTGTGCACGTGGCGTTGTGGACTTGAACAGAAATCTGAGCACGGCTGCCATTCTGGCCGACTTCTTCAGAGAGCTCTTTCTGGGGACAGAGAAAAAAAGGAAATGAAACACTGAGGCACCACGGACATATCGCCTGCTTGCCTAGTTAGTTCCTTCCAAGGGAGCTGAACCACCCTGTCCCAGGGGCAGTGGCCCTGTTTCCACAGTGTGCCTTCCTCGTTCGGGCCACTGCCAATGGGTTCAAAAGGCAGGCAGGGACGCAGGATGGGCTGGCAGCAACCTCAGGCCTGGGGGTCTTGGCAAACTAGCATCACGAGGTCACAGCACTTAGAGTGGTCAGTAAAGAAGTTTCTGGAAGACAGGAAGCATGTAGCAGATGCACCCAGATGGCAAGAGCAAGACTGACTCCTTGAGACCCTCATCCTCAGAGCCACCCACAGCACAATGCCCCAGGGTCACACTGTCCCTCGACACTGCCCACCTGCCAACTGCCCTTGAACCAGCCAGCACGAGTGGGCTCCTGTTCCTTGAAATTATAATAGTTTTGACTAATAGCTACATGCACTATTTTTTTTCTTTCAGAGTGAAAAATGCACAATTACTCAATTTTCAAAATGCTGATTTTACTTTTACTTATGTTGTTTTGAAGCCACTGCCACGCAACAGTGAGCCATTAAAGCACAGGAAAAATGACCAGAACTAAGTGTTTATACAACTCTTCCCCTTTGTTTCCAAACCTCGACTAGCACAATGTTCTCTGGTGTAGGAAACTAATTTTTGTTTGGGGCTAGCTGGAAGCCATAGAGATTGTGAAGGTTGAAATGAAGCCCTAGGAACATGTTTTATCACTGAATTTTGGAAATCTGACTTCACAAGGAGAAAGAGAAAAGTCAGGTCATGTGGGGCACAGGTATCACAGATCATAGATGAACAGCAAGGGCACGGTTTTGGTGATAACTTTGTCCCTGGTCACTCATTCTCATGTCGCTCACTTTTCCCAGAGACTGCACAGGGTGGAAGCAGCTCAGCTCTCAAGGAGAGGGCTGTCCTGTCACTCACGACTAAGGGGGCACCTGGGCTGGCCATCCTGTGACTGTTTCTAATTCTAAATAGGTACTGATGGGCCGAGCCCGTGGTGCACTCAGGAGAGTGCAGTGCTGGGAGCACAGCAGCGCTCCCGCCGCGGGTTCGGATCATATATAGGGATGACCAGTGCACTCACAGTGCTCACTGGCTGAGTGCAGTGTGGCCGGTCTCAAAAAAGGACAATAAATAAATAAATAAGTAAATAAATAAATAAATAAATAAATAAATAAATAAATAAATAAAGCTCACAGTGCTCACTGGCTGAGTGCGGTGTGGCCGGTCTCAAAAAAGGACAATAAATAAATAAATAAATAAATAGGTACTGACCATCAGGACCCAGAAATGCCCCCAGACAAGGGATGAAAGGCTTAAAATTTTTTGGTTTTTTTCCTACTCCACTAAACTCTGAGCCTATAAGATTTGCCATAGATTTTTTGTTAATTAAGTAAACATTAATAATCAACAACCTTTCGAGTATATTCTGACAATACATTTTTTTAGAAATAGAGCATTTTATTTATGGCAAACCCAGTTTTGAATTTGGATTAGTTGGTCATTCTGTACTTATATTGTGGGGGTAGGTAGGGCAGAACGTCATCAAGTAGAGTAACTCATGGTGCAAACCCACAGTCACAGAGCCCTGCAGTGACCCAGGCCTATAGCTGAGAAATAAATAACACGTCTACTCCACAGTTTAGTATCTAATAGATCTTCAAAGTACAAGCCTTTGTGCCTGACAAGGAACAACGGGCCTGCTTCTGGCTGCGTACTTTTTTCCTATAGAGACTCAAATACAATGCATCATTTATGAGTGAAATTATCTCAAAATTAGAGGAAGTGCATGACTGGAAAAGAATTAAATGGCTAAAAGAACAGAAATCCTAACAAAAACAAAATTATTTTTTTGGAAATAAACATTAAAGTGGTTTATAATATCTATTCACTTAGGGTCTATAACTCACTATGAAAACCCAGAGATGTTACTTTTTTTTATTGCCACCTCTTATTCCTTATGTGCATTGACAAATGTAAAGTGCTAACCTCGTGTAAAGTGCTTGGAACAGTGCTCAGGGCAGAGCAAATGCCACCCAAGTGTAGCGATGGCCACCACCACAGCTGTCATCATTCTGAATCTCGAAGCACGGTGGTGATGCTGGCCAATGCTTCCTGGTAACACATTTTGAAAATGTATCTAGAATTATCCCATTTTAGGAGTGAAATTATAATAAATGCTGACACATTATTAGAAAGATATATAATAAATAGTTTAGTGGAACCTTAACAATTTTCTCTAAGAATATCCTTAAATGACAACCTTAAATATAGTTTTAAAGTGACTCATGTTTTTAAAAATGAATGTAATTGATCCATACTGTTTTAATGCCAAGTATGTTAAGAAATGTGTACCCATATCCATATCCCTGAATATTTATTTTAATTCTGATTTTGAAAGTTATTGAAGGGGCCGGCCCGGTGGCGCACTGGATAGTGCGCCGCTTGGGAAGCGCGGCGGCGCTCCCGCCCGAGGGTTCGGATCCCACATACAGACCGGTTCCCGCTCACTGGCTGAGCGAGGTGCGGGGGCAACACCGAGGGTTGCAATCCCGTCGCCGGTCCTGGTCCGGTACGGGGGCGACACTGAGGGTTGCGATCCGTTGCCGGACACGGAAAAAGACAAAAAAAAAAAAAGAAAGTTATTGAAGAAGTCCATTGAAAATCAGATGCACATAGGAGCTGCCCCATATGTACTATCTCTGGTGCTGTCAGGGTGCAGACATAAGGTGGGGCCGTTTCTCTGCTGTGAGGTGGTCTGGTCACGAGGTAAATGCCACAGGCCACCTGCATATTTCTCATTTAGTAAGTTTTCAGTTTTCACCAACATAAGGTCCATATCCTCACCGACTTAAAAATCTAAGAGCATCTTTAGGTAATGTGATTTTTAATGTGATTTATAATGTGGCATTTGATTGCAACTTTACTTACATATGAAACAAGACACAATGGACCTTGATGATAGGGAAAGTAACAGCACATCTTTGGAAAGACCATTTCTTTTTTCTTGGGTGTGTGGCATTAGAGTTAGACAGGGCAAATGCAATGGAACTTGTGTTTAGTGATCAAAACACTTCAATATCCCCAACTACTCTATGGCCCATCTTATAGCCTCAAAGAACAGTAACACTCAGTGAGGAAGAAACTACCAGATAAAAGTTTCTGTTATGTGACAACAGAGGTGACTTTTCAAAAGGGCTTCAAATTCACAGACACCAACGCAAAACTCTCTCATCTTACTCCAAAACGCATCCTGCTCTCACTTCTTTCTGCTGGGAGGCCACACTGTGGAATCTGAATGAGAGGCACTGTATTATGAAGAAAGCCAAAGGTACCTGGGAAAGAGTAATGGGTCTCTGAAAAGCACTGGCTTTGGAGTCAACCAGCTCTGCTAATTCCAAGCTCTGTGACTCTGGGGTAGTAATTCAACGTCTCAGAGCTTCAGTTTCCTCAGGTGAAAACTGAAAATAATATCTTTCTCACACTGTTTTTTTTTTTTTTTTTCTTTTGTCTTTTTCCGTGTCCGGCAACGGATCGCAACCCTCAGTTTTGCCCCCGTACCGGACCGGGGACCGGCAACGGGATCGCAACCCTCGGCGTTGCTCCCGCGCCTCGCTCAGCCAGTGAGCGGGAACCGGTCTGTATGTGGGATCCGAACCCTCGGGCGGCAGCGCCGCCGCGCTTCCCAAGCGGCGCACTATCCAGTGCGCCACCGGGTCGGCCCCTCTCACACTGTTTTTGTAAGGGTTAAATGAGTTACTTTACATAAAACACTTAGTTCGTGGTTTGGCACACCGTAACTAATCAACGGTGGCTGCTACTACCCCTGTATTCAACGAGGTACTACACACTAAGGTCTTCATTCCGTATAAATAGAAGGCCCTCTTACAGAATTGGCCTCGCAATATCTTTCAAGTCTTGGTGCATTAGAGAAAATCATCAAGGTTGTCTAATTCCCCAAACCAAGAAGTTTATTTGACCCATTCATAGAGTTCACCTCCTTTGCAGGTTTCTCCTCCAGGCAAAATGTACAATCAATCTTTGATTGATCCCTGGGTTTTAGAAGTGGTTCAGATTCCTGTCTTATAAGAACCTTGCCTGTTCCTCAATACCTTAAAATAACACCAGCTCAAATGTTCTGCCCTCCTCTGAGAGGGAGAGGGAGAAAAGAAGAGCAGAAGAGGCGGCAGGCCCATGCCAACATCTGTGCACACATCTCTGCCACCATGGCAGAAACTGGAAGGCTCATTAGGATGCAGAGGTCTAGGGTCAATCTTAAGTGCAGATTCCCTGGGTCTTTAAAGAAGTTAGTTCTACATATTATGTTATCTGCTATGAGACTTCCTTCTAATATAAGATCTCTACCCTTTACAAACAGAGATTAAACCAGCACTGGAGCTATAATCCCAAAACAATAAGCTCCATAAAAACCACCCATATAAAAACGAGTTTCTGTTTAATGTTTGGGCAATTTTGGGTCAGAGTTAAACAGGTTTATTTACTGTAGAACATCAAAGAGACCTGAACTTGCCAGTATACACCATGGGTCTTTAAGAAGGGAGTATAATATGCAATATTTTATAAACTCATTTGTTGACTGAACTCTTTTTTATGGAAGGTCTACTGACATTTTATGGGAATGGAGCTGGGGTGGGAAACACTCATCCACACTTATCAAAAGACTGTCACATTCAGAGAAAGAAATTCTCCACCTGGTATGGATGGTGTAGCCGGGTCCATGCATCCAGTTCATAGAGCTATAAATGCCTAAAAACTAAGTACAAGGCCCTTTGTTCAGAGAGTACAAAGATGAGCAAGACACAGCTCCAGCTTCAAGGAGAACGGATTACTTGCTCCTTACCTTTGGATTTTGAGCTCTGATTTGGAAGGCAAGGGATATCATGAGGCAAAGAACAAAAAAAGTAGACATTTTCATAGAGA